CATGGGCCCTGATAGCAGGACAAATATAAAGGTCAAAAGATACTGGCACATTGCTAGAATCCCATTCAGTCATTAATAAGCATGTAGTCCATCATCATATCCTATGAAAACGTCTCCCGGGGTGAGGCTACTCAGGCACACAGGAGCAGGCTTGTCAGGTTCCAGAGGCAGGAGTGGTGCTGAAGCTGGGCCCAGTTGGGACCCCCACAGGAGAGGCCTTGCTGCATCCCTGGCCTCACCTTTTCTTGATCTTTAGCTTAGTAATAGGTTATCCCCCTTGAGCTCGGAATGTCCCCTGTCCCAGTTCTCTGCTTTAGAAAATTACCCTGGAAATTATGAGTAATACCCTTAGGCTTGATATATTGGAAATCAGCGAGACAAACAGAAGACGCCTTAGTCAGGGGCCCAAATTGGGAGTCTTTATTCCAGAAGCTGGGGACCGCAAGAGGACTCATGTCTCTCCAAACCTCACGGCCCCCAGTGAGCTCAGGGATCTGCTTATAAGGGCAAAAACCACATCCTGCTCGGAAGTGGGAGGGGAGCTGTGCTTACCCAAGCGACAAACCGCAGAGTTGAGATAGCTGGGGGTGGTTATTTCTTGGAACTTAATAGTTCAAACCACCACCGGTGCTCAGTGGAAAATTTTGCAACCTGAGGCCCTGTGGGTGGCAGAAAATGGAGGGCAGAAGGCAAGATGGAGTTGGTCTTGCCAGGGGCCGCTGTTCAGGCTTACTGCTCACAATCTGTAAGGTCTAGCGTTCTGTCCAGGCTACTCCCATCATGGTTCCTGGGTTGCCGATGACACCAGAGAGCCATGTTGCCAGAGGGAAGGCTCCATGGGGACCCCTGAACCATCATGTCACTTCGGGAGAAATGGCCAGGTTTTCCCTTAATACCATAAACTGGTCTGAGAATGTTAAGGCAGTTTTTGGGGGTGTTAACCCGCCGCCTTCTCAGACCACCGGTGCTCTGACAATAAATGCTTATCCTATGGCCCACACTCCTGTGTCAGCACAGGAAGCACGAGCCCTGGACTCACTTGCCTTCCGGTTTCAGTGTCAGCAATAAACGACTTCTTTTCAAACACCCGGTATAATGGAGCTAAGAGATACATCATCTCTTGCTCTGAGCCTCTTTCAAGGTGTTAGTGTAATATTCAGGTTCTCTTACTACATAACCAATTTATTTATTCCTTTACCCATATCTACTGTTTTTCCGTCTCTCCACTTACATCTAAACTTTTCCACTTTTGGAAGAGACATTAATTAGGTTTGGCCACTGTGCTGGTCTGGATCGCTGGCAGCAACGCTGGTCTAGCAAGGGCCTCCCCTTCAATTCACTTCTACTCAGCTAAGGTCAAGTTACACAGAGGCAGAACGAATGGGCTATCTTTACACCAGGCAATATAGCTGCATTCCCAGTTGGTTCCAAATTCTCCAGATGGGGTGATGCAATCCTGCCCCATCTGGTCCTAAGGATTCTGATACAAAGGTTAAGAACACAGTGACAGCTCTTGCTTAGGAACCATCCTTGCTTCCAGCCCTTGTAGTTGCAGCAGCCCTGGTCCTATGATTACTGCATCAAGTAAGAGGGAAAAAAAACCCAAAACAACAGAGGTGATGTGGTGAAGACAGAACACCAGCACCTTCCCACCACCCCACCACCCACTCCCTTTCTCAGGTCCACCAGAAAAACAGAGATAAATGATTGTAGTGAGGACACTCCTTTAGGCTCACTCATGGTCATATTGAGTGTAAGCACGAACTCCTGAAGGTTTGTAAGTCAGCCCTTCATGCCTTTATCTCCCCCCATTTTAGACAACCAATGTTTCAATTGCCCATCCAATTCTCTATCAAAAATATAATTCTGAGCAGGATATCTTTCTGTCCATTGTTGCACATATGGGTTGTAAAGTGTGTTCCTTGATCTGAAGAAATGATTGTTGCTGTCCAAATTGCTGCAGTATCTTCTATTTTGTTCCTAATACTCTAATGTATAGGAAAAACCTAATCTTTTCCTTTCGATGTGGGGAAAAATCCAGTTCTTCTGTACTATGTGTTTCTTTCCTGTATGTATGTCACACATAACACTTCAGTTCTCACCATCTGGTCACCAATGTGTGGAGGTTTTTCACCTTGCCCAGCAATTCTCTGTCACAGGTTATAGACTCAGTCCCACAAGGCCGCCCCCTCCTACACTCACACACACGCTGAGAGCACAGTTGCAGGCCCCGCTTATATCACTCGTGCTTCTATCACCAGTGACCAACTGGCTAAAGAGCAGAGGTTCCAACTACGCCCTCTTTGGGTTTACTTAATAGGTTCAGTTGCTAGTTGGCTCACAGAACTCAGGAAAACACTTATGTTTACCAGTTTATTAAATCATGTGATAAGGGATACAGATGAGCAGCTAGGTGAAGAGGCACGTAGGGCGAGGACATTCTGTTCATAGCTTAGGTTTCCACTGCCTTTGTTCTTCACCATGTGGCCACATCACTGGCCACTGCTCATGTCAGTAAAAAGCAAACATAGGGGTTTTTACCACTGTTCACTGCTTCCGTCACTGCTAGGCAACAGCATGTAATTCCGTCCACCGGGCTGATTTGTTTTTACCTTCTTCAATTGAAGTGATGGCCTTTCAAACAAGGTGTTAGCCATTCATGGTGGAGCTCCTGTCCAGAAGCCAAGCAGCTCTTTGCTGGTCAGTCAAGAGCAGTTTACAGGGCACTGTCCAGGTGAGAGGAGAGCCCAGCAGCTCCTCACACAGTTTCAGAGTCAGTCCTAGAGGAAAGCGGCTCCCTGGTCATGAGTACATCCTCCTTGCTTTTCCCCGGCAGCATAATCTTGTATAAACCATTTACATTTTTCTATGAAACTCTTGTGGGCTCTGCCATCCCCTTTAAAGCATTTCTCTGACATAACACTAGACATATGGGTATTTTGTTTTAAGATAATTTTATGTCCTTGGGGTAGCTTTAATTAACATCCAATAGTGAGGTAGTAAATACTCCTCGAATGGAAACTCTCTACTTTAAAGGCCCAGTGGTTTTCGCAGGGAGACATTCACAGGCTCTTGCCATAAACCCCAGTCTATACCCCATATAGGGTGATCACACAGATAACTTGTCCCTACCAGCTCTCCAGCTTCTATTTTACATTGTGTGGGCTCAAGCAATACCACTCATTCCCGTTTGGCATGTCCAATTAATATTGCTAGAAGGAAGACTCATGTGATTCCTGCTTTATAATACTGGGTAGGGTAAATGTTCCCCAGTCAGATACGATGTCCATCAGCATGATGCAAAACAGGTAAAGAAAAAAAACCCACAACCGCTTTACAGAAAGCCTGGTCAAACATACTAATTCTCCAATACTCTGTGCCAGAAATGGAGATGAAGACCAAGTATGTATTTCTTACTATAAATCACAATACCACACCTATTTCCTAAAAAAAAAACAACTCCTCCAGATCAGGGAAGTCACTTCCCAGATGTGTCTCACTCACATTCAAAGCCACTCAGTTGTTCTCTTCCCCTTACCCCAGTGCCAGGCTCAGAAGAAGAGGCGCTTCAGGAAGTATAATTTGACTTTGATGAAGTCTGTGTAGTGATTCTTAAATTTGTTCCAGTCAAGTGTTCTGCATCTTTTCTGGTGCCTGAGCTTTGCATGAGTAGGTGGGATTAGGGGAGGGTCAATGTGACCTGAAAACCCAAGCTGCTTGCTCCTGGAGGTAGGCTCTCCCCTTTATCCTGGCTGGCACCCCCTTCCTGACCCAAAGCAAACTCCCTGATCGCTGCCCTCCCCACCTCCTGCTCTGGGAGGGGTCTCTCCTAAGAACTGGAGGAACCTGTCCCTCTTACTAACCTGGCAGTGAGCATTTCTGACTGCATGCCAGGGCTGGAAGTTGCTGGAAGGTTCCACCAACAGCAGCATATGCCTAGTATGGGAGATTATTAGATACAGAACCTGGGGTCCCACCCCAGACCTAGTAAACTCCAAACTGCACTTTAACAGGATCTCCAGATGTTTCATAGGTGCGTTAAAGGTTTAGAACCACTTCTGTAAAGATTACAGCCCCCTGATCGGTTATTTCCACGTTTTCATTCCAATGTCCAGTGTCTGCCTGTGTGTGTTGGGGGGCAGGGTGGGGTGGGGTCAGAGGAGACAAACATTGGTGCTGCTCATTGAGTTTACATTGGGTGTTTGTCTGCACATTTGAAAGGAAGTATTTTGTACATAAAGAAATGGAGTAGTGATGGTTAGAGTGAAACTTTTCTTGCAGCTGCTCCAAAAGCCGATGTGCTTTTTTATGTCTGAGTTAGTTCATGAACAGTTCTCACCAGAGGGCTCCTGTAATGCCTTTTTAGTCCTTTAAAACTTTGTATACTGAGGCCAGGAGTTCAAGTTATCAGTAAAATGCTTAAATCCACATTTCATTTTATGGACGGAAAAGGGGCCACACATTAACGTGACAAGCTCAGAGGAGACTGAAAATAAGCACATAAGATGTCCTGAGCATAAAAGAGTTTTCATAACTAAGTGGGCCATGGTGGGAAGTCACATCTTTAGCTTCCTTCATATAGTTAATCTGTGCCATTCATTTCAGTGGGCCAGTCTGTTGTCTTTTTGCACCTAAGATAACATCTTTGGAATGTCAGTAATCCTTTTTCAGGAACAGAGCTGGAAACTGCAAAATTCCTTATGATTATCATCTCTATGTGCTGTGAAAGGCAAACTGCTAACTATCCTGCACCCACCTATGTAGAAGTACCTGTCTCTCCAGTTTACTTTTATCCAATCCCAGAGATTTCCCTGCTTTGCCTTCTCCCACCTAGTTAGTCTATCACCAATGGATTTCATGTTACCTTCCTCCTTTGATTTTATGTATAAAATAAGATTCAAAACTGCCATTTCCAAGAGCACTTTTTCAACCCAGTGAGATTTTGCTTCCCGACAATTGTCGTCAGTTTGGCTCAAATAAACTCTTTTATTTTCTCTTAGGCTGGATGTTTTTCTTCGACAATTTGATGCATCAAGACCTGTGTTATCTACGTATTATTTTCATGACTTTATAGGTAAGTAAAGAGCAAGGCTGCACTTTTGTTTCCTAACTCCAAAACCCAGGCTTTTTTTGTAACCTACAGTGCTACTTGTTGTTGTTACTATACTACAAATACCAAGTCCTATGGAGAAAGAATTAAAACAGTTGGCCTACCTCACAGTTTTGCCTGAGGCTAGCCATGGTACTTAAAAAGATAGCTCTTCTCCTGGTTAAGTACTCTAGCTCCATTGGAGGATTGGAACATTCTTTATTGGATGGTTTTGCTGGAGTATTTTAACTGCTTACAACACAAAATGTAATCGATATTGTTTAGACTTTGAAAAGTTAAAATATTGTTAGGTCTTCTGCTAGAACGTTAGAGGGTGAGTGGATACCAGGGTACCTCTGAACGAGATGTGCAAATGTATAAGATAACTTGGACAGCCTTACTGCTTCCTTCAGATTGTATAAATTTAGGACAGGTTTCTTCCTGACTATAGGTCCCTGATGTTTCAGATAGGAGCCTAGTTTCCCTAAATGCCAATCAGTTGTTATTGTTTCGCTGTTAAACTATGTCATCTTTTAATATGTATATGTTATATATACATATGTATGTTTTATTAATTTGAGACAGTTTTAAGCTTATGGAAAAAGTAGAGTTCACCTTTTTCTTCTTTCTTCCACACAATTTCCCCTATTATTAACATCTTGCTTTACTGCAGTACATTTTGCTAAAACTGACGAACAACTATTGCTACATTAACGAAAGTCCTGCTTTTTGCTATCACCACCTGCTGAAACTTCTAAATAATTTCAGAGATTAAAATAGTGCACTGTGGGAAAAACTGTGATCTAAGACCGACTTCTGTAGTTCCTTCTTTGTTTTCACAGTATCTGTATATAGCAGCATTTAGCTGCTGCAGCTGGACAAATCTCACAGTGAGCAGATCCCCAGCTTTAAAATGGGATGACTCCAACAGAGTCCAAGAACGGGTGATGGAGACAGGCTCAACTGCAAAGAGACAGAGCCCTGTCCACATCTTTGGTAGACCAGAGTGACTCCCAGGGTGACTCCCAGGCTGTGGAGTGCTCAGCAGAACCTTTCCCTGATGCCTGGAAGAGACAGTTTGGGAGATGGGGCTGAGAGCAGGACTCTGCTTGGTTCTCTCAAGCTCTGGCTGAACCCCAAAGGATCAGGGCTAGCTGTTTTTTCAGTCTGGGGAGGTTAAGTGTCAGGCTGCAAATGAAAAGGAAGCCACAACCACACCTACCACCTCCTGTTTACAAGTATTTGGTTTCGTTTCAACCCCCACTCCCAGCTGAATACCAGGAAACAGAACTGAAAGCCAAAAGCAGAGGAGGGGGAGCAGCGGTGGTCACTCAGGCCTTGTTGCAGCCTGGTCCCCCATGCCGGCTGCAGGAGCCTCCTTCCCTTTGGGGCTGCGGTGTCCCATGAAACCTCCCCCAGAGATTGCGGCCAGAAACCCGCGGAGATGTGGGACAGCGTGGGTGTGGAGATGAGGGTAAGTGTGCCAGGAGGACTCCAGAGCCTGGAGGCGCCTGAGGCCAAGGGCCTGGGGGAGGAAATGAGCGTTCTGCATCTCTCGGCCTTTTCATTTGAGCTCCTAGTTACAGCAAAGGAGGAACCATCACCATCAGAGCCAAAAAAAACAGGGAAGAGGTGACTTCTCAGGGACTTGCCCAGGGTATGATCTTGCCAGGGACTTCCCAGCAGCCTGAGCATGTGCCCGGGCCAGGCCATTGCGGAATCTGACCAGATGCCTCCCAGAGCCCCTGACTTGCGCCCTTCAGCACAGTTTCAGAACTTTAGTGGGGGTGAGGAGAGTGGGGGATTACCCAGGACCCCTCGCCCCACGGGTCTGGGGTTTAAGAATTCTGGAAAGGCTGCCCCAGGGAAAGGGGTTTCCCTAGTGTTCTAGTTCAGGGTCCCTCCCTCTTTTGTATCTCAGCCCCCTCACCTCTCAACCTCTTTGCCTTGTCTGGGGTGAGAATCTGTAAATGCTGGGCCCTCAAAAAGCATTGGAATTTTAATTGGAAGGCAGAGATCCATTTGGAACTGGCCTGAGCCCTCCTTTGTGTGTGTGTGTGTGCCTGGAACACAAATGCTCTAATTTGGGGGGTGAGCCTTGTGTTTAAACTGGGTCTGACGATCCTCAAGTTCTCTGAGGCTGAGGAGGGGTGTGTTTTAAAAAATAACCTGTTTTTTTTTCTAGGTGTCATAGTAGCTAGGTTAGTGCCACGGTTTTCAGAACATATTTCTCTTTGTTATAGTTTTCATGGTGTTAACCAAACTCAGGTTCAGTGCCGCTTGTGCACGGAAGAGCCCAGAACACGAGAGTGACAAGGGTTGGTGAGGAGAAAAGCCCCTTTATTCTAGATGCCAGCAGCTAAAGAAGATGGCAGACATTTCTAAAACACCACCTTTCCTGAGGCCAACTGATTCAGAGGCTTTAAAGGCAGGTAAAGGGGAAAGAACAAAGGAAAGCAGGCCTCAAGGCTAATAGTTGAGAAGTCTCCTCCTGGGGTCTTCTGAGGCCATTAGCCACTGAGATGGCTCGTAGTCAGTAGCCATCTGTGAAACACTGCTAGGGGTTGTGATCTTGGGCCCTCACATCCCCTGAGGATTAAAGAAGCTGCTCTTTTCAGGATAAGATGTTTGTTAATTAATAAGGTCTGGGTAGTTTTGAAAAAGGGAACAAACAGTGTTTTCAGTTAATCAGTGGGAGGAGAAACAAAGAGAAAGCATGACTATCAGGATGGATCAAACTGCAAACAAACTAAGTCTAACCATCTTGCTGGCTAGATAATGAGCTGTGTGGTGAGTCAAATGCAAACCAGCTTAAGTCTAATTGCATTATTGATT